TTGTTCTTTGCCCCAATTGGGAATAATTTTGTAGATTTTCACATCTGGATCTTTCTCACCTCCAACAGGGGATGTAAAGGGCTTTTAGAACTGAATATAGATAACAGAGTTGGAAGTGATCTTGGAGGTCTTCTAGTCCAGAGCTTTTCAACCTTTTCACCCATTGTACCACTTTTAGGATACGGCAATATCCGAGTATCACCAGTTGCCTAGAAAGGTGTCAAAAATGTGATGACCCAAAAAAATGGCACTGAAAAAAGTGCCCCCCCAAGCCACAGCTGAGCAAGACACCTGCCTGCCCCCCCCCCCGCAGCGCACTTCCTCCTGTCCGAGGTTTTCATTGTTGTGAGCATTTCTGTTGAGGATTGGCAGCGGGGGTGGGGTGGGGGGTATTTGGTTTTTATTCCTCCCATCTGCTGGGTGGTTGCAGCAGGTTTTGGTCACTTCACATACCCTGGGACACTGTGACTGTCATAAATATGAATCGGTTGCCAAGCTTCTGAATGTAAATCACAAGAGCCTGGAGATACTGCAACATTCCAGCTGATCGGCGCTTCTTCTGGGCTCAGCGGAAGCGCCAGGATCAGTGTTGCTTTCCAGCTGGAGCCTGGTGCTGATCCTGGCGCTTCCACTGAGCCCTGACAGCCCTGCAGCTCCAGCTGTCTCTCGCCCAGGCTTGTGCAGTGCTGCCACTGATTCAGCTCATTCCCCTCCCCCGCTACCACTTTTCTAGGATGCTCACGTACCACCTGCCAGGTGCCAACGTACCACAGGTGGTACCCGTACCACTGGTTGAAAAGCCCTGTTCTAGTCCAGCCTCCTCCCCAAGCAGGAGACCCTATACCATTGTGGACAAATGGCTGTCCAATCTCTTCTTAAAACTCTCCAGTGATGGAGCACCCACAACCTCTGAAGGCAAGTTGTTGCACTGGTTAATTGTGCTCACTGTTAGGAAATTTCTCCTTAGTTCTAGGTTGCTTCCCTCCTTGGTTAGTTTCTATCCATTGTTCCTTGTTGTGCCTTCTGGTGCTTTGGAGAAGGGGTTAACTAAGGTGACCAACTTTTTTACAATGAAAAGGAGGACACAAATAAATTGAAGAAAAAAATATCGTAAATAAAAGAAACATTTTATTAATTGCAACAATAATACAGACAACTTGCACGTGCAAAGTTTGCCAGCCGGGTGTTTTGGCGCGCTCCAGCAGCAATTCCTATTGGCTTTCGAAAGCCAATAGTGGGAGTAGCACAGCTCATGCAAAAGTTGAAAAAAAAACCATCAAAAAAAGGTGCCGGAACCCCGTTCTGAGCGTTCTATGAGGGGAAAAAAAAAGCCCTGCAGATTAGTCTTCAAATATCAAAAAGGAGGACATGAACACTTTTTGAGGGAGGACAGAACTTACAAAAGGAGGACTGTCCTCCCTAAAGGAGGACGGTTGGTCACCTTAGGTTGACCCCTCTTCTCTTTGACAACCCCTCAAATATTGGAAGACTGCTATCATGTCACCCCTAGTCCTTCTCTTTGTTAGACTAGACATGCCCAGTTCCTGCAACCGTTCATCTTAGAACTTAGAAGAAACCAATAAAGAACTGCACAGCCCTTTGGCTGAATAAAATTCAGGTGGCTATTATAATGTAAGTTAAAAAACACATAGGCGGAGAGCCTCCACATTACATATTACATATTATTTTTTCTCTTAAATCAGCCTTCTTGAGAATTCCCTGGGGTAGTTAAAGCTAATCTCTTCTTCCATATATATGATAATGCCAGGAAATTCTCTCCCTCTTTCTCTTCCCAAAGTTGCCTCATCTTTCAAGTTCAAATCCCGAAGGTCTTTTCTTACTCAGCTGCCATTTAGCACAGTCGCATTTATTCCACTCCAGAGACCCTGCATTTGAAATATACTTTTGAGATTAAATCCTCCAGAGAGGCGACAAAAGCCGCAAATGGAAGGAGCAAATTAAAACTCTCTCTTCCTCTCTTTGTTTCTCTCTTTCTCTTTAGCACTGTAATTAAAAATGAAACAGCCTATAAAAAGTGAACGCCGCAAAGAGGTCTCAAAACTTCGATAAAATTTCCCCGGTTTGAGGCTCTGAGGAAAGACAAATAACCTCAGCGACTTAAAAAAAAAAAATAGTAAGGATGCTTTCAAAAGTTTTGCTGGTACTCCCAATTCGGCTGAGCAGCTGTTCTGCTTTCATTTTAGATCACTGACAGGTAGTTATGGATTTCCTTGGTAATTTGCTTGTGTGTTTTTTGTTTTTCCCTTTTTAGCAACCTTTTGGAGATATTCCTCCAAACCAACAAAGGAATTCTTTAGGAGGCTCTACAGGGCAGAGTGGAAACCTTTCCTTGATGAGATTCACTTTTAAAGGATTAATTAAACATCAGCAGGTGTGGAAGATTTGTTTTAAAGAAAGAGCTGCTGTTAGGGTATTAAATTTAGTAGCTGGAACAGTAAGGTGGTCAATGGGCCAGAACACACAGTTGTAGCTGATTAGCGCTGACTCATGCATGAGGCAATCTACGCTCTGATTGGTTGCCGTAAGTACCGTTATAAAGGGGGGGGCGTTTCCTTTTTTCCCCGCCTTTTTCTCTTCGGTGTGTTCTGTGTGCTGCTTCTGATTTACCTCACGATACTCCTGTCTTCCTGACTATGTCTGTCTGCTTTAAATATAAACGTGAATTACATTTATTTATATAAAACGACCAGTTTAATGTCCTTTGGAGAGTTGCTCTGCAATTCCCTGACAGCTGTCCCTTTTCAAACCATAAAACTGAAATTTTCACTCTTGGGGGAAGCTCTCCTATTATTCATACCCAGTTTTAATTGTAAGGTTGGGTTAGAGCAGTGGTTCTCAACCTGTGGGTCGGGACCCCATTTGGGGTCGAACGACCATTTCACGTGCGTCGCCAAACAACGCAGTCCACCATTTTCCCCCCTTTTCCTTAGCTGTCCTACTCCCTTTTATTCTATTGGCTTTTGAAAGCCAATAGAATAGACTCTCTTGAATAGAGTCTAATTCTATTGGCTTTCAAAAGCCAATAGGAATTGTCCAGGCTGTTTCTGCCCTGCTGAGCCCGCCAAAAGTCCCATTCTGCAAACGGTGCTGCACCAGTTGAGTAGTCCTTGACTTACGACCAGTTGAGTAGTCCTCGACTTACGACCGGTTGGGGGTCGCGGCATTAAAAAGGTTGAGAACCACTGGGTTAGAGGAAACCTAAGGATGGCAGGTCAGGAAATCCAGCATATAAAAGCCATCGGCTTCATGGGACTAAATAGAATGGGAAAGACAGGCAATCTTCAACCTGTGACAGTTCAAAATTACAATGGCGCTGAATGTGACTTATGACCGTTTTTCACTCTTGTGACCACTGCAGCATCTCCAGGGGCACGTGATCCAAATTCAGGCACTTGGCAACTGGATCATATTTATGACGGGGTCATGTGATCACCTCTGGCGACCCGCTGACAAGCAAAGTGCATGAGAAAGTCAGATTCACTTAACAACCATGGTACTCACTTAACAACTTAGGTTAAATCACCAAATTTAGAGGATTCACCTAACAGTTGTGGCATGAACGGTCCTAAATAGGGGCAAAACCCACTTAACAACTGAGTTAATAAATGTTAAGAGATGTTAACAACTGATTTCCAGAGAGGTGGACTTCAACTCCCAGAATCATCACGTTTTGTGACCTTCTGACGAGCAAAGTCAGAGGACTAGGGAATTCTGGGAGTTGAAGTCCCCTTCTGGAAATTCGATTCTGTCTGCTAGCTGCGAATGGCTCTTCACTCTCTACGCCTGGTCAAAGATTCAGCTAATCCTAACAACATTCCCTATGCTACAAAAATGGCTTCTCACCGAGAACAAATCCTATAAATGCAATGTATTAAATAAGACTATCTAGTATCGTGTTTCAGAATAGATTGTGACCCCCCCCCATGCTCTCCTCTTTCAATTAGTTAGCAGAATCATTTCCTGCAGCAATGGCTTCCAGGCAGAACTCAATTTAAGCACGATTTTGCAGACAGTGAGCTTTTCCCTTTTAAACAGCTGCTTAAAAGTTGGTTACGTGCACAATACCGGCGTGACTCATGGAGATTTAAGAAAGCCCCAGAGACAGCAAAAGAAAACAGGAGAAATGAGAATATGGGTCGTCCTTGAACTTGCAACCATTTGTTTAGTGACTGTTCAAAGGTACGGAAAAAAGTGACTTGTTTTTCACACTTAACGACCATTGCAGCATCACCTTGGTCACATGATCAATATCAGCCACTTGTCAACTAGTTCACATTTATGATGGTTGCAATGTCTCAGGATCAGGTGATCACCTTTTGCGACCTTCCGACAAGCAACGTAAATGGGGAAGCCAGATCCTCTTAACAACTGTCATGATTAACTTAATAACTGTCATGATTAACTTAATAACTATGGCAAGAAAGGTCATAAAATGGGGGCCAAACTCACTTAACATCTGTCTTACTCAGCAAACAGGAATTTTGGGCTCAATTGTAATTGTAAGTTATGATTACAATTGAGCCCAAAATTTCTGTTTGCTGAGTAAGACAGATGTTAAGTGAGTTTTGCCCCCATTTTATGACCTTTCTTGCCATAGTTATTAAGTTAATCATGACAGCTGTTAAGTGAGCAATACAGTTGTTAAGAGGATCTGTACAACTCTCCTTGATGTGATCCTAATAAGGTGAAAAAAAATGGTCAAGGCCCATCTCCAGTGCTAACATCTGCCATGCAGATGTTTAGGAGCTATAATTCCCAATATTCTCTCAGCCAGCCTAGCCAATTAGCCTACCGAAAGGAAATTTGGGGCTCTGTGTGTATGTGTGTTTCTTCTTTTATTATAAATGCACAGCACCTTGCTGAAAAGCTGCTTTAATCGGAAAGACAGAGATTATAATTCCAGGCACACAACCATGACGCTGGGCAAAAATGGTTCGCTCCGCTGCTTAAATTCATCCCGAGAGGAGCTCCAAAATTACCTGATCGGCCACCGCCCGCGCCAGTTTGTCCATTCTGGAGCCGGCTTCGGCAATTTTCTTGGCAGCGTTTATGACATCAGAGGTATTCTTCAGTGGCCCTTTACCCCTAGAAGAGACAAGGGAAAAGCCATTGACTTAATGCTTGGAAAGAAAGCAACGCCAATGCATTTGAATACTTTATTTGTCCAAGTGTGATTAGACACACAAGGAATTTGTCTCCAGTACAAAAGCACTCAGTGTACATGGAAAGCAACAGAATAACAAAAACAACAATAATAAATTATCACATTTAAATAAATAATTAAGATTAAATTGCTCTTGGATTTTAGAATTCTAACAGACAGACACCGGCCACACAACACCCCAGACTTAACCATTATCAATAAGAATGAAACAAAAGTCTGGATAGTGGACGTGGCAGTACCTGGAGGCAACAGAATAGAAGAGAAGTAAATGGAAAAGATAACAAAGTACAAAGACATAGAAATAGAATGACTATGGCTAAAGCAAGCAAAAGTAGTCCCAAAGGCACCTTGGATGCAATCCCAAAACAACTGGAGCACCACTTGAACACCATCGGCATTTACACATTTGCCATCAGTCAATTGCAAAAGGCAGCTTTACTCAGAACAGATTACATCCTGCAATAATATCTGTAACACCATCAAACATCCAGATCTGCCTATCCCAGGTCCTTGGGAAGGACTCGATAGGTAGACAAAATGCCAAATCCAGTCTGAACATCTGGCTGACTGTGCAATGATCCATAATAATACCAATAATACCAATAAAAGGAGCAACAAAGAAGATAATAAGAAGGATAAATAATAATATTACAGACACACTACATGGATAAATATATATAGACATTAGGCAGCACTGTGAAAACTATGTGTTCAGCAGATGGATGGCACATGGGGAAAAAAACCTGTCCCCTTGTCTAGATGTTTGGGCATACAATGTCCAATAAGCACCATCCCCTGGTTGCAATTGTTCTTTCTGCATTCTTGACTATCTGCTGGAGTTTGTTTCTCTCCTGCTTGGTTGCTGTAGCAAACCAGACAGTTATAGAAGTACAAATGACAAACTCAATAATTCCCTCTATTAAAACTTGTATCAACAGTTCCATTTTTGTTTTTCAAATTCTTGTAGAACTGAGAGATGACTGTTTCCACAATTTAGCACACCACACTCTTTAAACTACTTATTAGAGTATAGGTTAGGAGATTGGGGGGAAAAGGGGGGGGGGCCTAAGGGAGGCAGTGTAGATCTGCAGCTAATTTAAAATGCTTTGCCAGCAGTTTGGATCGTTTTTTTTTTTTTTGCCTCCCAGCGCCTGGACTTAATTGTAGATGCATTTTTAAAAGTGTTTATTAAGAGGGTATTTCTGGTGGAATGCAAAACAGCAACAGCGCTCAGCGACTCCCCGAGCTGGATTTAATGTAAAATCGGCCAGATCCAATCCGGAAATGGGTCAGAGTCCAGTGGGAACATAAAGGAAGGCAGCTTTACACTTGCACAAAGTTGAACGCTATCAGGGAGGTTTGTTAAAAAGCTGGTTGAGTTTCAGAATTATTATTATTATTTTTTTTTGCAATTGCTTGTCAGCTTGTTCGGCTGATTGAGGCCTTTGAACTATGGTGCTGGAGAAGACTCCTGCGAGTCCCTTGGACTGTAAGGCATTCAAACCGGTCAGTCCTAGAAGAGATCAACCCCGACTGCTCTTTAGAAGGCCAGATCCTGAAGTTGAAACTCAAATATTTTGGCCACCTAATGAGAAGGAAGGACTCACTGGAGAAGGGCCTAATGCTGGGAAAGATTGAGGGCAATAGAAGAAGGGGATGACAGAGAATGAGGTGGCTGGGTGGAGTCACTGAAGCAGTAGGTGTGAACTTAAATGGACTCCAGAAGATGGTAGAGGACAGGAAGACCTGGAGGAACGTTGTCCATGGGGTCGTGATGAGTCGGACATGACTTCGCAATTAACAACAACAACATTGTAATTTTATAAGTAGCTCAAGGTGATGAACATACACATCACTCCTTCCACCTCCTATTTTCCCCAAAACAACCCTGTGAGGTGGGCTGGGCTGAGAGAGTCACCCAGCCGGCTTTCGTGCCTAAGGTGGGACTAGAACGATACCATTTGTCAAAGATAGGTGAGCTTCAACTGGGCTCTCATCCTTTTTCAGTATCTCTAAGTCCTGGAACTTCAGAACTCGTAACTCAGGTTTCTAGGAGGTGCCATATCCAGGCAGTAATCAAACCCTCGGTCTATAAGCTTCAAGATGGGAACTGTGTCACTTATTCTGAAATTTTTGAAATGCTGGCAAGCTCTGTTTTTGTGAGCAAGCCTAGGGGGCTAAAGGCCTGACAGCATAACCAGTCTTGAAAAAGCAATGAATCTCAGTTAAGGTTGTATGGATGCAACAGGATGTTACGATGTTCTCCAGGGAATAAGGTCAGGATCACAAATGATGGGAGAGAGCCCTCAAAGATAGAAAAAAGTTCTCTAGGTCCTTTTTTGGGATTCGTATTAAATGGGGAATAAGTACACCAGTGGTACAATGATCCTGCTATCACTTTTTTTATTTTGGCAATTATGAATTCAGTTAGAACACAGTGTTATTTTCTGGTGAACCTGGAATGAGGTCTAGTTCAGCATCACTAGCTGGTGGAAAGACCCATCTTCTTCATTTTAGAGCAAGCTTGTTAAAAAAAATAAATAAAAGCTCATCATTTCAAAGGTGTAGCCTTGCAGGTTGGGAATTCTGGAGTTTGTAGCTCCAACATGTGTGGAAGGCATCTGTGGTGGAAATCTCCTAGAGCAGTGGTTCTCAACCTTTTTAATGCCGCGACCCCCCAACTGGTCGTAAGTCGAGGACTACTCAACCGGTCGTAAGTCGAGGACTACTCAACTGGTGCAGCACCGTTTGCAGAATGGGACTTTTGGCGGGCTCAGCAGGCAGAGACAGCCTGGACAATTTCTATTGGCTTTTGAAAGCCAATAGAATTAGACTCTATTCAAGAGAGTCTATTCTATTGGCTTTCAAAAGCCAATAGAATAAAAGGGAGGAGCACAGCTAAGGAAAAGGGGGGGAAAATGGTGGACTGCGTTGTTTCGCGACCCCCGTGAAATGGTCGTTCGACTCCAAATGGGGTCCCGACCCACAGGTTGAGAACCACTCTCCTAGAGAAAAAAGCCTAGAAGAACAACAACAAAAAAAGTTGCTCTTTTCAACCACCATCGATGTTTCTGTCTTGGAAGAACAAGATCGTTCCTCAAACTTATCTTCTCCTAAATCTAGTGAAATGCTACATGAGTTTGGACTGAATGTTTCTTCTTTCTTCACAAGGATGTCCCAAAAGTGCTGTTCAAAAGGCAACTGGACTTTCTTGTTTTTTTCCTTCGAAAGCTTTTTGCCTCTCATCCACCAAGCTTTGTCCAGTTCTCCTTGAAAATGTCTCGCTTCTCGTCCACGAAGCTGCTTCAGTTCTTCTGAAGAAGGTTCTTGAATGAGAAGCAAAACGCTTTCAAAGAAAGAAACCAACAAAACCCAGTTGATTTTTGAAAAAGCACCTTTGGGACAACCAGGGCCTGGATGACTGAAAATCTCCATAGACAACCCTCACAAGGACCGACTTCGCTGATGGACCTACCTAGTGAAGTCCGTCATCTCCATCATGATCATGCACATCTGTTTGGCCAGGACGATGATGTCGTTCCCGCTGTCATCCCATTTGGCCACCTCGGCATCCAGCTTGCTCTTTTCTTGATGGAATATTTCTACCTGCTCAGCTATCTTCGCCTTCTCTTCCTGAGGAAGCTGAGCCATGATGGCCTGTATTAAACCACACAGAATCGTGTAATTTTAAGACATGTCAAGGATGCAGGCTTCGAGTTAGCTTCTCACCACTTGCCCTAAGCAGGAAAATCATTTAAAAAAAATGTAACGTTATCCATTCTGGCCTTCATTCGAAAATTATCTGATTATTAGTGCTTTCATTTCTGCTGAATCAAGACAATCTTTTAGATCAGGGGTCTCCAGACTTGGTGACTTTAAGACGTGTGGACTTCAACTCCCAGAATTCTCCAGCCAGCCATGCTGGCTGGAGAATTCTGGGAGTTGAAGTCCACACGTCTTAAAGTCACCAAGTTTGGGAGACCTCTGATTTAAGCCACAGATGCCAACTAACCAACTTTCTCAGAGCTGGACCAGTCAATGTAAATGCTCCGGCTTGTTTTTCTGAACTTCGAAGCAAATAAGCAGAGAACAGTCTACCGGCACCTTAAAAATGAAATATCTATTGTCGCAGAATCTTTCATGGGTCAAGGACTACTTCATTAGCTACTAGAAAGGGGGAAAACAGCTCAAAACTCAAGATCATTATAATATAGTAACAGATGGCACTAATTTGGCTAGCGAGCTGAATCATAGTAGGTGACAATCTGCCCAGAAGTGGGTCATCAAGTTCTGCCACTGATACCATAAGAAAACTCTGAAATTTTGGAAGCCGTTTGTGAATTTTGTCTGTGTTAAATACAGTAACAGACTATTAACAGAGGGCATTGAAGATGACTTTTGTTCTTGGGATTACTTACCTGCTTCTTTTTATAATGAATAGATGGTGGTTGCCTTGATTGATAGACAATATATTTCCATGTCAGTGACATTTCCCCCGTAACATAGCATTTTCAGTCATTACAGATGGAAAAGTTTATAACTAACTTGTAGCTCTGATATGCAAGGGATATTCTAGTTATTTTTTTTAGCATTCAATCAGGGGACATTTTATGTTTAATTTTAATATTAATAATATATTTCTGATTTGTTGTTTTATACACGTTTTTAAATATTTTTTTGCTACACATTGTTTGGTTGTTTGGTTTGATAGTCAATGTTTTTTTCTTCTTTCCATTTTGTATTTTAACTTTGGAGAAAAATAAAAAAAAATTAAAAAAAACTCCTAATTTTTCGGTTCTTGATAGACTTTTGCACACTCCAGAATTCAGGCTGTGCAAGATAACTTTTTTAGAGGAATTTGAAAATAATTTCAACAGATATCACCATTAAATTGATTCTGATACCAGTCGCAAACGCAAGAATTCCAATGTATTTTAATTTTTTTTTCAAGACAAGAAAACAGCAAAAAGGTAATAATTACTTTTGAAGATCAAAATAGGGACCTTTCAGCAGTGATTTCTGAATCAAAAGTATATTTGGCTCCAGGGTTGTATCCCACTGCTTGGTACATTTAATAGGGTGTGACATAGATTTAAGTGTCATTACATTTTTTCTTGTTTATGTCACTTCCAATCAGCTATTGCTTCTCTCTACATAGTCTTAAAATGCTCTTGGCTTTTTAAAAATTCATAATTGACCTTTTCCAGAACCAAGATTTTTTTTTGGGGGGGGGGAAAGGTTATCTTGAATCAGGAGATCAGAAAAATGAAGAAAACATGAAAGCTTATCAAATTAGAATTCACCGACAGAGTTTTAATTAGGCCTTATCAAGGTAGCTCAGCAGTCTGAATTGTTAATGTGCAAACACAACAGAACAACAACAGCTTCCCCTGTAAAAGGCATAGAAAGTGAGTCTCTTCTTTGCATCTCCAAGAAAACTATAGTCCTGTTTTATGAACCTAATGTTTATTTGCATCTCTAATATTGTGTATATTTATTTGCGTGTGGATTTTTGCACAGTGTTCCACAATGAGTCTTCCTGATACGTGGTATGAATCCAGCTTAGGCTAACTTTCATTTTTATGCTTCTTCCAACACTGAAATTGTTTTTTATTTTCAAAGAATGCATTCTCTTTTTTCTTTCAATGGGCTATGAAGTATAAATTCCAGTTTTATTTACTTCTATTCTACAACAAATGTGGAGTAATTAAACAATGGAGTGGTGTTATCACCACACATACCTTCCAGTTATACAGAAGCAGAGTTATTTTATGGGAAAATATTCCTGGGACTCGTAAGCAACCACACTGAACAAAAATGCAGATTTTGTTGGGCAAACTAACAGCCAACTGGAAGAGCCAGGTCTTCAGGCCCTCACAGAAGACCAAGAGGGTGGGGGCACATCTCACCTTGAGGACACTATGTTCCAGAGGGTGGGAGTCATGGCAGAGAAGGCTCTTCTCCTGGACCCCACTGGCCAGAATCTCTTGATTGATGGAGCCCACAGCATGTCCCTTCTTCAAACATGGGTGGGGCAGGCCAGTTCCCCTTGGGCAGTGCTTCTCAAATAGTGGGGCGCGCCCCCCAGAGGGGGCGCGAGGCTCCGTAAAGGGGGGCTCATTTGACCTTGGCAAATACTGTCATATTGGATTTCTAGATCGGATCATCCGACTCACTCGCAAGCGGCGTCCCACACGGCATTGATTGTCCCAGCGCAGCCCCAGTAGCAGCCCAACGCGGTGGACAACATGACCGCCAACGCACGTGACACATGCAAAGGACCCGATTGGATAGACATGATGCTCTATCCTGATTGGCCAAACCTGCCCGTGTGACTTTTAGACCCGGAAATCGGTCCTCTGTACAGAAAAAAAATACAGGTCTCGGCTACACATTGAGAAGGAGCTGAGAGTTGCTGTGTCCTGCTTCAAACCCCGCTTCGAAAAGCTATGCATTGAAAAACGTGCTCATTGTAGCCATTAATCCAGACATCATTGTGCTCCTTTAAATCTTTTCTGCTACAGTTAATAAAGCTATTCTTTGTTGTAAATTGATCCACATTTCTTTCTTTTTTATTCTCATATACGTTAATAAGGATACAGTGTTATGCAGAGGTGTATTTATAACAATTTTATAGACAAATGATACTATTTACAGTCGCGCGGGGGGCGCAAAATGTTTTCTTCTTCCTAGGGGGGCATGACAGAAAATAATTGAGAAGCACTGCCCTTGGGTGAGATGGTTCCTCAGATACCCTCAACCCATGCCATGCAGGGCTTTATTCAAGATAACCAACATCTTGAATTAGGGACTGCCCGTCCATGCTGGCAGAAGGGGCATACTTTAGGCCCTGTCCAGTTCTGGAGACCTCACTTAAAAAAAAAAAAGAATTGGTAAGATTGAGTGAGTCCAGAGATGGGCAACAAAAAATGGCCCAAGGTCAGAAGGACGAAACATACCAGGAGAGATTGCAGGAACTGAATATGTACAGTCTGGAGGACAGAAGTAAAAGGTGGGATAAGATTGAAACCTTTAAATATATTAACAACAAAACTCTGGTAAAAATGCAGTTTGCTAGGTTGGTAGAACTCCTTAAACAAAATGTATACCATCCTGCAAGCATGTATACCATTTAATTGGTTAAAACCAATTAAAGGTAGGTTTAATTTTATGGACTACTATCAAAAGTTTGTATGATGAAATGGCCCACAATGCCATTTCTTGGTGGTTGTGATTTTAGCAACTGAAAATTCCACCTACCGTAGGTTTTTTTTTTAAATTTCAGATGTCTTAGCAAACAATTGTATCAATCCAATTGTGGTTTGGAGGAACACGAGAAGCTACGTGAAAAAAAAAAAATGTGTTTCAATCTTCTTTAAGAAAAGCTTTCTATCTTGCTTGGGGATTTTGATATCAGTAATAAATAAGAGTCCAACCTCATAATATTCTGCTTATCAAAGTTAGGACACCATGATGCTGAGTTTTATGTAAAGTCTTCAACTCTCATGTCTTCTCTATAATAATAAGATTTAGAAACCTGATACTTTTCTAAAATTTTCAGTGGGAAGACTGGAGTTCCTGGGACTTTTGACAAATGTATCAGATTAAGTGTTGAAAAACATTTTTAAGAAAAAAAAATATTGGAGAAATAAATCTTGGAGAAAGAACTATCAGCAGATTTTTTTCTTTCTTTTGCACAAACCTCTCCAATCAACACCACTCGAGTGTCAAACAAACGAACTCAGCTCTTGAGAACTCAAAATGGAATCTCCTGCTCAGTAGCCATCCTAAGCTTTCTAGTCTCCAAATCAGCTGGCAGAAGCAGACAAATTGGAAGAGATATTAATGCACTGCTTAGACTGTAAACTCACCCTTGCACTCTGGCCAGCAATCAGCTGATCGTCTTCAGTCTGAACGCTTGTCCGGCTCCGAACATCATAATCTTCCTGTTCGAAATCAGAATCATCCTCTAGCTCTTCCGGAGTCTAGATGTTAGGGCAGAAAGGAAGGAAGGAAGGAAGGAAGGAAGGAAGGAAGGAAGGAAGGAAGGAAGGAAGGAAGGAAAAAGAAGGACAGAAGAAGGGAAAAGGAAGAAAGAAGAGAGGTTTTATGGGAAGGAAGGAAGGAAAGAAGGAAAGAAGAGAAGTATGGGAAGAAAGGAAGGAAGGAAGGAAGGAAGGAAGGAAGGAAAGAAGGAAAAAGAAGAAGGAAGGAAAGGTTGTATGGGTGGCAGGAAGGGAAGGAAGGAAGAAGGGAAAAGGAAGAAAGAAGAGAGGTTGTATGGGAAGGAAGGAAGGAAGGAAGGAAAGAAGGAAGGAAGGAAGGAAGGAAGGAAGGAAGGAAAAAAGGAAGGAAAAAAGGAACGAAGAGAAGTATGGGAAGGAAGGAAGAAAGAAGAGAAGTTGTATGGGAAGGAAGGAAGGAAGGAAAGAAGGAAGGAAGGAAGGAAGGAAGGAAGGGAAGTATGGGAAGGAAGAAAGGAAGGAAGGGAGGGAGGGAGGGAGGGAGGGAAAAAAACAGATGGCAAGCTTACAAAGGATACAAATGAACTCCAGTGATTGCTATGTTCGTGTTTTATCAAGTACCTGCCCAGAAAATGTTGTTTCTTCTTCATTTTAAATTAACTTGTCTGGAGAGGCAGGCAGCACCCCAAATTGAATTGTCCACAAAAAAATGAAGTTGTTCCAAACCTGCTCTTTCCCCACCAGCATTAATCATCACCTTGCTGTGATTTCTCTTAAGCCTGTTAACTGGGGGGGGGGGGATGTACATTGGGCAAACTAACAGCCCTAGGATGCATTTCCCCCTTGGAATGTGATATTTCAAAATAATTGTGTTTCTCCTCTGAGGGGGGGGGGGGAAAGAAGACCTATGAGACAATATGCTGAACAGATTGCACCATCCTTCAAGAGTTTCCAGAAAAGGCACCTTGAGCTCAGAGATGGGGCGAAGACCAGCCTACCCCTCTTTCCCTAAATTGGACACAGTCTGAAGTGCGATCTGTGTAATTGTTAAAAGCCTGATCACAAGACTTGACAATGGAGCAAACCTTGGATTGTGAAGGTGTGGAGAAGATTGTAACACTCCTTATCTATGCTTGCCAAAGGAAGGAGAACCTTCCTTGTATTTTTTTGGTCTTTTCACACTTGCCTTCCTCCATCTTTTCACTACTTTCTTTAGGGTTTTATTGCTGAGATGGTTAAAAACAAATGGTTGGGTTAAAGCAGATGGAACAGGGAATAGTTCTTGCAATGGCCCCTAGAAATAAAGGCAAGGCAGGAAGGAGCCAGGTTTACTTAGAGATTAAGACACCAGGCCAGAAACCGGGAGACTGTGAATTCTAGTCCCGCCTTAGTCATGAAAGTCAGCTGGGTAACTTTGGGTCAATCACCAGGAGAGCCTAAATTCTAGTCCCGCCTTAGTCATGAAAGTCAGCTGGGCGACTTTGGGCCAATCACTAGAAGAGACTGAATTCTAGTCCCGCCTTAGTCATGAAAGTCAGCGGGGTGACTTTGGGCCAATCACAGGAGAGTCTGAATTCTAGTCCCGCCTTAGTCATGAAAGTCAGCTGGGCGACTTTGGGCCAATCACTAGGAGAGTCTGAATTCTAGTCCCACCTTATCATGAAAGTCAGCTGGGTGACTTTGGGCCAATCACCAGGAGACTGGGAATTCTAGTCCCACCTTAGTCATGAAAGCCAGCTGGATAATTTTAGGCCAATCACCAGGAGTTGGTGAGTTCTAGTCTTGCCTTAGGCATGAAAGATGGCTGGGCGACTTTGGGCCAATCATCAGGAGATGGGGAGTCCTAATCCCGCTTTAAGGCATGAAAGTCCGCTGGGTGACTCTATGCAAATCACCAGAAGATGGGGAGTTCTAGTCCCATCGTAGGGATGAAAGCCGGCTGGGTGACTTTGGGCCAATCACCAGGAGTTGGTGAGTTCTAGTCTTGCCTTAGGCATGAAAACTGGCTGGGCAACATTGCGCCAGTCCCTCTCTCTCAGCCCAACCCACCTCACGGAACTGTTGCAGAGGAAAGGAGGAAGAAGGGGTGTTGGATACATTCAGCCCCCTTGAGTTATTTGCAAATTTAATCAAGGAGGGATACAAATAAATAAACAAATAAAAAAATAACAAAGACTCTCTCTTCCAGAAGGAAAGGGTGGCTGGATCATCAAGATCAGTGTTTCTCAACCTTGACCATTTTAAGGCATGTGGACTTCAACTCCCAGAATTCCACAGCCAGCATTGCTGGCTGTGGAATTCTGGGAGTTGAAGTCCACATGCCTTAAAATGGTCAAGGTTGAGAAACACTGGTCAAGATATTTTGCTGGGTGTTTTCAAAGTTCTCTGAAGGGCAAACGTCTCTCTCCTCCCTGCGAGTCTATGCCTTGTTATCCTTCATGTTCTCCTATTAAGTCCCACATTAAATCAGCAGGAGTTCTGCCCAAATAAACCAAGGTAACCTTAGCTGCCGCTGTCCTAACAAGGAGAAGGCAGGGCTTTCTTATCTGAAAGGCACTTAGGCATGTTGGATGGTTCAGCAGTGGCTTTTGAAGATCAAAGGACTTCAAGACTCCAAGCCATTCCAGATCTCTTTCACTGAGCAATGCATCCCCTCTTCCGCTCGCTTTTCCTTCCTCTTCTGCGGGCAGAAGGAAGATCAAACTTCTCTGATAGAATGGCCGAGGGCTGTCCGCACCGATACCCTACCTGGTTGCAACTGAACCATCATCAGAAGCCGCCAGAGCGACTTTCTAAGCAAGGAGACAATTGACATGGACAAGTTTCGGGTTTTAAAATTAATAACAATAAGATTAAAATATTGCTTAAAAACACGACTAATTTGGATAAGGAGACCCTAGATAGGTTGACAGATTTTGAGGTTGTTAATAAGGTAAAATATCTGGGGGTTATTTTATCTGCTTCTAATGCAAAACTGTATAAAAATAATTATGAAAGGCTGTGGGTTAAAATACAAAAGGATTTGGGAAATTGGAAGAAGCTGCAATTGTCCCTATTGGGGAGAATTGCAGCGATTAAAATGAATGTTTTGCCAAAGTTTCTCTTTTTATTTCAAGCGATACTTATTTTAAAGAATGACGCTAATTTAAACGAATGGCAGAAAGGTATCAATAAATTTATTTGGGCAGGGAAAAAACCAAGAGTAAAACTTAAAATTATACAAGATATTCGTGAGAGACATTGTCTCTCTTATTGTAAAACAGTCTTCCTCTATCTGAGGTCCTCCAAATGTGGTGGAACTACAACTGCTGGAAATAATAATAATAATGATGATGATGATAAAGTTGGAAGGGACCTTGGAGGTCATCTAGTCCAACCCCCTGCTCAGGCAGGAGACCCTATACCATTTCGGACAAATGGCTGTCCAGTCTCTTCTTAAAAACTTCCAGTGTTGGAGCATCCACCGCTTCTGGAGGCAGGTTGTTCCATTGGTTAATTGTTCTAACTGGATGATGGAAGGGACTTTTGAGATCATCTAGTCCAACCCCCTGCTCAGGCAGGAAACCCTATACCATTTCAGACAACTTCTTAAAAACTTGCAGTGTTGGAGCATTCACCGCTTCTGGAGGCAGGTTGTTCCACTGGTTAATTGTTCTCACTGTCAGGAAGTTTCTCCTTAGTTCCAGGTTGCTTCTCTCTTTGGTTAGTTTCCATCCGTTGCTTCTTGTCCTGCCTTCAGGCGCTTTGGAGAATAGCTTGACTCCCTCTTCTTTGGGGCAGCCATTGAGATACTGGAACACAGCTATCATGTCCCCCCCTCATCCTTCTCTTCATTAAACTAGACACACCCAATTCTTAGGCCATAGGGTTACTCAACCTGAAGAGCATCAGGAGAAGGCTATGGTGTATGCCAGGAGTCTTCAGACTTGGCCCTTTTATGACTTGTGGACTTCAACTCCCAGAATTCCTCAGCCAGGCATAAAAGGGCCAAGTTTGAAGAGCCCTGGTGTATGCTATATTTGTATATGGCTTATTTGGGAGAAAGACTATTTGCTAACAACATGGATAATGGAATTCTCATGGGATTGTTGTTGTTGTTCACTTGCTAAGTTGTGTCCGATTCTTTGCAACCCAATGGACCACAGCACACCAGGTCTCCCTGTCCTGCACTGTCTCCCAGAGTTTGTCCAAATTCAAGTTCGTTGTGTCGATGACTCTATCTAACCATCTCCTCCTCTGCTGACACTTTTCTCCCTTTGCCTTCCATCCTTCCCAACATCAGGGTCTTTTCCAAAGAGTCTTCTCTCTTCTCCTTTGGTGGCAAAAATGTTTTGAGCTTCAGTTTCAGGATCTGACCTTCCAAAGGTTGATTTCTTTTAGGACTGTATGGAGATTCTTAACCATCCAGGTCATGGTTATTCCAAAGGTACTTTTAGGATTGACTGATTGGATCTCCTTGAGGTCCAAAGAACTTTCTAGTGTCTTCTCCAACACCACAACTTAAAAGTATCAGGTTTTTTTGGCACTCAGCCTTCCTTATGGTCCAACTCTCACAGTCATACATTATTACTGGGAAAATCAATAGCTTCGACTATACAGAACTTTGTCAGCAAGGTGATGTCTTTGCTTTTTAATGTGCCGTCTAGGTTTGCCACAGTTTGCCTCCCAAGGAAAATTAATTTAATTTCAATTTCATGGCTGCTGTCATCATCTGCAGTGATCTTGGACCCCAGCAAAATAAAATCTGTCACTGCTTCCATTTTTTTCCCTTTCTATTTGCCAGGAAGTGATGCGACTGGATGCCGTGATCTTAGTTTTCTTAATATTGGATGTGCTCTCTTCTCTTCCAGCCTTCATCAAGAGGCTCTTTAACTCTCTTCACTTTCTGCCATTAGAGTGGTAGATGGGATAGTGATTGGATGGGATGCTATTGCTCAAATGAACTGCTCTGATCAGATCTTAAAAAAGAATAACATCTGCCAGCAGTGATGTTGAGGGCTTTGCAGATAGATAGACCAACTTGGCTTTCCTTTCAAGCATTTCTCTAGGGGAGATCTCACTTATGGTGACAATATGTACTAAAGAGTAGATAAAGCAACAAAAAATTGATGAAGCTTGGTCTATGATTTTTTATTTAAGTTTTGGCTCAAACCAGTTGCTTTTATATGTGATATTTTAAGACTTGTCTGCTCCGTCCCCACATACAGGTAGTCCTCGCCCTACGACCGCAATTGACACCCAAAATTTATGTTGCTAAGTGAGAAATTTGTTAAGTGGGTTTTGCCCCATTTTACAACTTCCCTTGCCACTTTTGTTAAGTGAATCACTGTAGTTGTTAAATTAGTAACACGGTGGTTAAGTGAATCTGGCTTCCCCATTGACTTTGCTTGTCAGAAGGTCACAAAAGGGATCATATGGTTCTGGGACACTGCAACCGTCATAAATATGAGTCAGTTGAAAAGCATCTGAATTTTGATCACGTGACTGTGGGGATGCTGCAACGGTCGTAAGTGTGAGAAATGGCCACAAGTCACTTTTGTCAGTGCCGTTGTAACTTGAAACGGTCACCAAACGAAATATTGTAAGTTGAAGACTACCTGTATTTTGACTTTTAAAAAAACCCACCAATTGAGGCTGATTGGCAAGCTAGTGAGGAAAAGCTCGGAAAGCTGTACACAAAATGAGTCCTTCTGTTATTGCCCTATTAAGTTTATTAAGGAGGAGCAGAAACCTGATAAAATTAAATCAATTGCTTACTTGGGGTTAAAATAACAGTTCCTTACCTGAATAAACGCCGAAGCTTCTCCCTTTGGAAATTCAGTCAAGCAGCTAGTTAATTTATTTAGTCACTTAGATATTAAAAATACCTATCTTCCTCTCTGAGTCCTATACAAGCATTAAAGGGATACAAGTGGTTTTAATGTGCTCGGCACAATTGGAAACCAGACACCCAGACAACTGGGGAAAATGAAAGTACGCTGGGTGAAAAGGAAAACTGATCTGTATTGAACCGCTGATTATTAAAGGGCAGCTGATCGACAATCTCCCCGGCTTCGCTAATGGGGCTGCTTCTATCGAAGTACACAAACTGGCAATTAGCTTAGCCAATTTGCCGTTGCTATGATATATACAAGGGGAACGAAGAGAATTCTCCACCATTAACATTGACAACGGGTCCAAGTGAGAGAAATCAAGACATAATTGTGGGTGGGAGGGGTGAGTTTTTGGATAAGTGGCTTGAGAGGTATTGACAGATATTTCGTAAGAAGATTAGGGAACTGGAGGCTGAAACATACGAAGAAGAACGGTTGCAGGACCTGAGTATGTTTAGTTTAATGAAAAGAAGGCCTAGGGATCCTTCAACTTCTTTAATCAGTCGTTCCACCAATTGATTGTTCTCACTGTCAGGAAGTTTCTCCTTAGTTCTAGGTTGTTTCTCTCCTTGATTAGTTTCCATCCGTTGCTTCTTGTCCTGCCTTCAGCTGCTTCGGAAAAGAGCTTGACTCCCTCTTCTTTGGGGCAGCCCCTGAGATATTGGAAGACTGCTATCATGTCCCCCCTTGTCCTTCTCTTTATTAAACTAGACATACCCAATTCCTGCAACCGTGTTTTGTATATTTTAGCCTCCAGTCCCCTAATCATCTTTGTTTTTCTTCTCTGCAGAACCTGGAGGCAAAGTTAAAAGAGGGATCAGCCTATGTATCCAGAAGCGAACTAAGTCCAACCTTGGTTGAATTCTGTTGACCCTAATCTAACCTAAAACCATCCAACATGGTGCTAACAGTTCATTGAGAATATTCCTGTGTATAGGCATGAATCAGTTAATTGGCTCTTTAGTTGTGGACCTGATCTTTTGCACGGGACAAAAATAACTACAGTAAGGTTAGCGTGATTAAGCATGCAACACTGGGAAGACCAATTTACCCTGATTTCTGTTATTGTACTTACATTTTTAAAGTATCTTACCCAATAAAATGTGTATTGTCTTCCTTAAAAAAACAGGACAACGTTAGGTATTTTACCTGTTAGGAAGCCAACATTTTAGAAACAGCAGAGGAGATAAAATCTTTTTGTAAATTGAACACATAATTGTGCTTTCTTATTTATTCTGGGAAATGCTTCTGTTTTAGAGGAATCTTGTCTCTTGTGCATTTCATATTTCCCAATGAAGTATACAGGTGGTCCTTGACTTACATTTGTTTAATGACCTTTTGAAGCTACAATGGCACTGGAAAAAGTGACTTATGACCTTTTTCACACTTACGACCGTGGCAGCATCCCCATGGTCACGTGATCAAAATCCAGACGCTTGGCAACTGGTTCATATTTATGATGGCTGCAGCGTCCTGGGGTCATGTGATTGTCTTTTGGGACCTTCTGACAAGAAAAATCAATGAGGAAGCTGGATTCACTTAATAACTGTGTTACTAATTTAACAAGTGCAGTGATTCACTTAACAACTGTGGCAAGGAAGGTCGTAAAATAGGGCGAAACAACTGTCTGTCTTAACAATTGAAATTTTGGGACCAATTGTGGTCGTAAGTCAGAGGACGACCTGTACAACTCCCCTTGAATGTGATCCCAATAAGGCGAAAAAAAATAACAATCTTACATACCCTGATCATCAGTACAGCTTTCCTGATGTCCCGAACACCATCATAAACCAAGCGAGAGGCGTCAATAAATTCATTCTCTTCAAACGGTTGTGGGACGTTTGAACTCAGGGCCTCAATCGCGACTTCCACTTGTTCAGCAAAACGCGGCATCACTAAATTAAACCAGAGGAAAGGCAGTGAGAAGGTAGTTTTTTTTGTGTAACATTAGTGCTTCCCCATGTTCTGGAAGGGGATGGTGCTGCGGCATCAGAGTGTTGCAATGGCGACCTGGGAAGGGATCCAAGAAGAAATAATCCCATCATCTCAAGATTAAGTGGACAAAGAATTCAACAGGTAATGTGAGGGCAGCACATTGTGCACATTTACGAGACTTAAGTAACAATTGTTTGGATCCTTCAGAATGCTTTTTAACTACAAAGGTTTGCTCCATCATGGAGAATCTCTCCTTACTACAGAGCAGGATGTTCAGGGAAGGTTTGCAAGATCCAGTGGTTTCTAGCAATCCATCGTGGAAGCAGGTTGCTACCAAATTGCTGAGCAATCCATTTGATATTGTGGGATCCTTGGTGCTCTCTGAGCTTTATGGTTTTCTTGAAGACGATTCATGACCCAACTAGGTAACATCATCAGTTTTGAAGGTAGCAGGGTTTACTCTCTGAAGCCCACTCTCTTCTAGCATTGATGATGTTACCTAGCTGGGTCATGAAACGTCTGCAAGAAAATGGTATAGAGTTTCCTGCCTGAGCAGGGGGTTGGACTAGATGACTTCCAAGGTCCCTTCCAACTTTATTATTATTATTATTATCAGTACTAGAAGGGAGGAGGAGGAGGACTGTGAGGTCCTTGGTGGTCTCTGAGATGGGTGGTTTTCTTGCAGACATTTCATGACCCAACTAGCGAACATCATCTCGTTTGTTGAGAGGAGGAGGAGGAGGAGGAGAAGGAGAAGAAGGAGAAGAAGAAGAAGAAGAAGAAGAAGAAGAAGAAGAAGAAGAAGAAGAAGAAGAAGAAGAAGAAGAAGAAGAAGAAGAAGAAGAAGAAGAAGAAGAAGAAGAAGAAGAAGAAGAAGAAGAAGAAGAAATGGTATCGGGTTTCCTGCCTGAGCAGGGGGTTGGACTAAATGACCTCCAAGGTCCCTTCCATCATCATCATCATCATCACCATCATCATTATTAAAATCACCAAGCTCAGAGAGCACCAAGGATCCCACAACTATAAATATTCTCTTCTATCAATTCAATACTACATGTTTCTTTCAGGATGAGAATTATCATTTATATGGTTAGTAATTGTTTGGGGATGTCAGAGTGCAGATGATTGCCTTCTGGAATTCTAATTTGGTATGATGTAAATCAGTCAAGCTCAAAACAGGTGTTGAGAACTGAGTTACTGTACCTGAATGGATCTTGAGGTTTCAATTTCAAGCTTTGCCCACCCAGTCCTAAAATCTTGCCTTAACACTGATACGAACAAACATGACATTCGTACTCTGAAACCTTATAGATATTTTGCAAGGGGATATCAACCTAAATTCGGTTCCCTTATAGATTTGTGGAAGAAAGAATTTCAGCCTCTGAAATTGGTAAGACGAACAGATTTGAGCACGCATTGGTGTTTAAATAATCTACTTGCTTTCATAGTTTTAAAATATTCTGAGTCAGTTCTTGACTCACCCCAAAAATTCTTATTAAAAAAAAAAATATCATGTGCTTCTGGATGAAAAGGGATGTGTAGAAATGTGCATTTAAAATGTACTGATCCAAAATTTCCTACTGAGTTTCTCTTTAATCTGAGCATCAGGAAGAAATGAGAATGGAAAGAGTCAAGGTCAAATACAAGCAGTAGCATCAGGAACCAGAAAAATCATTGAACACTCATCCTTACATCTGCCATATCATAGTTATCCATAGCTAGAGTCACATGCACAGCAAGGATTTTAAAGCTCTTTTGGGAAAAAAAAAACCACCCCAAATTCAACACACCATCTAAAGAAGATTTCACCAACCAATTCCAGCTTCTAATGGAACTGAAATAAAGATGATCAGAACTGGCTTGTGAAGATGATGGAATTTGCAGAGATGGTTAAATTAATTTCTTTGATGAGAGGGGGAAAAAACAGTATATTTATGGCTGACTAGAAAACAACCCCTTATAGACATTTTGCATGAAGTAGAAAAAGATGCACTCATAATTTGTGGTTTTGATGATTAAAAAAACAGATAATAGGAAAAAGTGGACTGTTTTGTTATCAAAGAGTAAGAGTTAATGTTAAAAGTACAATAAGCACCATCAGAAGCTGCTTTCCCCCCTATTTTTGGCGGGTGTTTCTATCTTTGTGAATATTTCTAGCACTGCGGTTTTTTTATTTTCCCTTTCTTCCTTTGCTTCTTTTACTCTTTATTAGTTTGTGTTTGTTTTTATGTTCTTGATAAAACTTTTAATAATGCACACTCAGGGACACATAGAGAACTGAAAATGATCTTGGGCAAGGTTTAAGAAGTGTGGATTTCAGTTCCCAGAATCCTCCAGCCAGCATGCTAGATTTATATATTCTCCTGCCTCAATTTTTGTTACTTAAATTTAAATTATTTAAATTTAAGATATTTAAATTTAGTAGCTAGAACAGTGGGGTTTGTGCAGTGATCCAGAACACACGGTTATAGTTGATTGATTGGAGAGGGCTGGCTCCTACGTGAGGCAATCTGTGCTGTGATTGGTTGCAAGGGGGGTGGAGGGGGTGTTTCCCTTTTTTCCCGCCTTTTTCTTCTGTGTGCTCTGTGATTTACCTCATGACATTAGTGAGGCGCCTATCTTGTCTGCTGCAAATATAGATGTAAAATAAATTTATTTATGTAAAACTACAAGTTCTTGCCAGCGTCTCTGACTTCATTTGAGCACCGGCAGCTCAATTCCCTGACAATTTTTCTTTGCAGTAAACTGTGTAACATGGGCCAAAATGAGAGAGAGGAATTGGCCCACAATCATCTCTCTGCTCCTAATCCAGCCCTTTCAACAGCACATAATACTGGCTCTTTTCAACATACAAGCCATGATATTGCTGGCTATAAATGATTTAAAGTTTTTCCTCTCCCTCTTCCAGTGCTAAAATCTGACACCCTGGTTGCCTTCAAGTTCATCAGAAAGCTAAAAAGTCCCTCAGTCCCAGCTGAGTATAGAATATGAAAGCTGCGAATGGCTTTATGTGAGCAATTGGCAGTATTAATGGTCGCGCCATACATTCATACTTTATGAATCCAGGCATTCAATATTTATTTCTGCAATACATATTTATATACTGTATATAGGCCTCGGGATGACTTTTGTAGCCAGCAAAGGCGGGGGGGGGGGGGAGAGAAGAAGTTGCAGAAGGCTATTTTGCTGATTTGTATGGCAAACTATTTTTTTGAAATGGAAAATGGGTACACAATGGGGTCAGACAGCACGAATTTGGAGTATTCGTTTGCCTGCCTGTGTCTTATCTTGCAATGTCAGCATGGCTGCCATGCCTTCTTTTTCCTTTAAATTGTAGCATGGGAGGTACAAGATGGAGTTGCATAGCCGCTCCCTATCTCTGAACAAGCCCTACTTGCCTGGTGATCCTGCATGCAATTATGGGGCTTGGAAACATGGAAGCATGTGCCTTAATCTAAATTTAAATGACACGGGATGTGCTAAAAGTGGGTCCTAGACCCTCACTGGGACTGCCAATTGGATGGGACCTTGGAGGTCTTCTAGTCCAACCGCCTGCTCAAGCAGCGGGAGAAATGGCTGTCCAGTCTCTTCTTAAAAACCTCCAGTGTTGCTTAGACTATGAGTCATTTTGCATGTTGGAAAAAAACAGACCAGAACAGAATAACAGAGTTGGAAGGGACCTTGGAGATCTTCTAGTCCAACTCCCTGCTCAAGCAGGAGACCCTATATCATTTCAGACAAAAGGTTGTCCAATCTCTTCTTAAAAAGCTCCAGTGTTAGAGCAACCACAACTTCTGGTGGCAAGCTGTTCCACTGCTTAATTGTTCTCACTGTCAGGAAATTTCTCCTTATTTCTAGATTGCTTCTCTCCTTGATTAGTTTCCATCCATTGCTTCTTGTCCTGCCTTCAGGTGCTTTGGAGAATAGCTTGACTCCCCTCTTCTTTGGGGCAGCCCTTCAAATATTGGAAGACTGCTATCATGCCCCCCCCCAGTCCTTTTCTTCATTAAAGTAGTAATAGTAGTAAAGTTGGAAGGGACCTTGGAGGTCATCTAGTCCAACCCCCTGCTCAGGAAGGAAACCCTACACCATTTCGGACAAATGGCTGTCCAGTCTCTTCTTAAAAACTTCCAGTGTTGGAGCATTTACTGCTTCTGGAGGCAAGCTGTTCCACTGATTAATTGTTCTCACTGTCAGGAAGTTTCTCCTTAGTTCTAGTTTGCTTCTCTCCTTGATGAGTTTCCACCCGTTGCTTCTTGTCCTGCCTTCAGGTGCTTTGGAAAATAGCTTAATTCCCTCTTCTTTATGGCAGCCCCTGAGATATTGGAATACTGCTATCATGTCCCCCCTTGTCCTTCTCTTCGTTAAACTAGACATACCCAATTCTCGCAACCGTTACTTATATGTTTTAGCCTCCAGTCCCATAATCATCTTTGTTGCTCTTCTCTGTACTCTTTCTAGAGTCTCAACATCTTTTTTACATCGTGGTGACCAAAACTGGAGGCAGTATTCCAAGTGTGGCCTTACCAAGGCATTGAAGAGTGGTATTAATACTTCGCGTGATCTTGATTCTATCCCTCTGTTAATGCAGCCTAGCACTGTGTTGGCCTTTTTGGCAGCTGCAGCACACTGCTGGCTCATATTTAGGTGACATACCCAATGCCCGCAACCGTTATTCGTATGTTTAAGCCTCCAATTCCCTAATCATCCTTGTTGCTCTTTTCGATACTCAACATCTTTTTTATATGGTGGCGACCAAACCTGGATGCAGTATTCCAAGTGTGGTCTTACCAAGGCATTATAAAGTGATACTAAGACTTCAAGTAATGTTGATTCTAAAGGAGGTGAAATGTTTGTGTTCATAGTAAAGTCAAATCTTCGTGGTGTTAACTCTTGGTGATTTCTGGAGCACCCTTCTGAGATTGTCCTGGCAATAAGACAGGCATGGTGGTTGAAGGAG